ACAGATGTTTTGGCGTGTGCAATATTTCGTTTGCTTACATCCTTATCTTCTACTAACAGTAGCAAGTACTCAGGCATTACTACTCCATGCTTTTTGCGAGTTTGCGTCGTACAGACCGGTGCAAAATGTCCTTTTTTCTTGCAATTTTTACAGGTTACCTGTTTCCTTTTATTACTCACTCATACAATTACTCGTGCTCATCCTTCTACTCTTTCTAAGCTTCTTCTATTTGTATTTCCCTCTTAATACCTACTTCCCCTAGTGGTCTCTGTAAGTATTGCACTGAATAACAGGACACCACAATGTCAATAATAATCAAATATTAGTGCATTAAATTAATCTATAGCCGGCAGAAGTGATGGGAGTGTAATGTTGGAGCAAAGATCTGCAAACAGAAACTGATGCTGCTCCATGACAGATATTTGCATGAGCAGAAGAACTGAGAAGATAATGTGAGTTCAGTGGATTAAGTTTGGTTATGACCATTTCTTTTCCGGTTGTTTTGCTTCTCTTTCAACACTAAAATCATTTTGTTTTGTTTTTACATCAGAAACACTCAATGAAGAATTTTGTCAACCGGCCCCAGTCTCCCTCACGTTCTCTGTAGGCATATCTGCTTTCAAGGGCATCTGATATATTACACAGCTATCAAAAGCATAAAAAAAACAATCGAAGTAAGAGTTTCCAAAGTCATTTTATTTCAAAGCAAGCCAGATAAATAAATTTTTTAATAATAAAAAGACATTAATAAGAAAATGAATCAACATTTGTGTTAGAGACATAACATGACAGAGTCTTTCTGAAACTAAAATTCAAATGAACAGATTTCTTTGCAAAATGAATCTTCGAGCTCTCGAAACTTGACAGCATCTGCTGGGAGAAAATACTCAGCAATGGTGCTGACTTGTGAATTTGCACATGGTTTGTCTTAAAGCAATTTAAAAGACCACATAGACAACATTAAAAACCTGATTTTGACCACAGGTGGGCTTTAAAATAGCCTCAGTATTTATGGGACATCTCATACACTTTAAACACACAAATCGATTGTTTTGGAAGTTTATAGTGACAATCCTATATTTGAAATATGTCATAGATAAACCAGCTCAACAAATATAAACACTAGAAAAGCTTAATTACAACAAATGTGAAGGGAATGTGTCCCCAAATATTCAGATTAATGGTCGATATATTTTTTTTAAGTGATCGATTTTTAACGTTGTGTACCTTTGGCCCCCCTTAGTCTGAAATATTTTTGTACATCTGCAGTAAACCATTAAAAAAATACAGAGATAGTGATAAACATGCAGTGCTCAACGTCAAATATTCGATTTTTCAGAATGATAAAAAAGATATTTATCATAGATATGTAAGTTTATTTTGCAGATACTGTCTCAAGTTATAGACAAAACAAACAACAAATATTAATACAAACATCAGCAGCACACAGCGGCATATCTTACAGACATCATTGATGAATGAATGTGTCCTTTGACTCTGATTGAGTTCACTCTTCACTGGCCGTGACTGAGCTGCAGATGGAGACTGTGAGCGTCTGCAATGCGGTTCTATAGTGATCTGATAAGAATCATTCAAAGTTTTCCTGAGGAATTTGTTTCTGCTTAACCTTTTAATGGCCTTGATGAGTTTAGTGCGAATGCAGTAGGTGTGATTCTGGTCAAAGTTCACTGGATCTGAATGCTGTGTCACATAAATCCTGTCGAACTGTGAAGTGGACCAGTGAGATCTAAATAAAACTATGATGCGATCTGTGTTGCTGTCATCATTTAAAAATCCTGTGTCATCGTCAGTGACATAATCAGGCAGTGAGTTGGTAATGTGCAGGTTGCCCACCTCATAGTACGGGAGATAAGAGTAAGGAAGAAGTCCTTCCCTATTATGGAATAGACTAAAGCCAAAATCTCCATTTGCAGGGTTGCAGAGTGCAATCATACGACCATTGGGGTCAATCTGAACACATTCATGAGCAAACCACCACAGCAAGTTCAGACCGTGTCTGGGAGGAGGCTGACCGAACCTGGACTCTCTCAGATCAGACAAATAATTCAGGGTTTGCATCGTGTTCCTGCAATTCTGCTAGAAAAAAAAGAAAGTATAAATCAGGACTGGTTTTACTTGAACAATAGTGTAGATTTATTTATTTATTTATTTATTTATTTATTTATTTAACAGCCATTCAGTTTTTGTAGAGTAACAAGTGGACACAGTTGGTTTCATTTCTCTTTAAACACACACCCTCAGTACAGCCCATCTATGCTAACGGTTAGCCTACGTCAGAGCTACTTGGTGTAGTTTTTTTTTTTTAGATATGCAAGCTGAATTATCTGGTGTAAAGTTTAAAATTATCATACTTATTATTTTTTAAAAAAGTAACAAAAACCACAAAAAAAGAGCACTGAATACTGTATGCCTACCGTGTTCGCGAGCTGTGAGCGGATCTGAGTCTGTGTCGGGCACGCGCCTACATTACTAGCCTATTTAAGTGTCTTGTTCAGTGGGCGGCGAAAAATACGTAAAAAAGAAGAAGTAAAAAAACCCGTTAACAAACCAAAATTGTTATTGAAGGAGTGATGCTTTCTGCAGCTGCAGAAGAAGAGATGATTAACTGGGAAAGTGAAACTAAAGCTGACGGACAGTAGCGCGGGGTTTGTAAGATGAGAAAAACTGGTAACACTTTACAATACGGGACGGGTGCACTAATATGCATTAATTCATACTTAACTAATGCACAGATAATCATGAGTTAATCGACTCACGAAGAACTAAACCATTAATTAATATAATACTGCATCAGCAACTAATAAAGCGTCTATATGATTTATAAAGTAGCCTAATACATGAATTGTGTCATCATGTATTAATTCCTTCCTTAGGAGCTAACATATTTTATTAACTAATAGTGTACATTCATTTGTTTATTCGCCTACCACAATTAGTCAAAGCTATGCACGTCAACTTCTAGTCGTCTGCTTTAATCATTAATGATTTGCAAATCTCTCATTCTGTTATGACTTTACTTGTTGAGGCACAATAACTTTTTCAACTGTTGCTGTCCAGGAAAAAAGATGCAATTCATTAATTGAACACATATTGGCTTGAATGAAGAGGAGTTTTTGTGTATCAGTTGACATTGAGCCGAGGTTAAACACTACCTGAATGTATCTATGCGTAAATCAGTAATTAAGGGTAAAATATGAGTCTGAGGTGAATGAATAATAAACGCATTGGAGAGGTCAGCTGACTGTGTAGGAAACCGAAACTGAAGCGGAGAGACAGCAGTGGGCGTGTCTAAGAAGATCACGTGAGCCAACACACACTGCAACCAGACGCAAACATTACATCGTTTGAATCATATTATATTTCATACTCTTTACTTTGTCGTTGCTTTTATTTTATTTTTTTTAATGTCCAGACTAGTTTGGTATTCTCTGTAAAAATACAGCAATGGCAATTTTAGCTCAACATCAGAGGTCTTCGATCCGATCTAACAATTAAAAACATAGGCTACAACAAATTATTTTGACACATCTATTGAATTTATATCCAACGTGCTGTTGCATCTTTAAATATGAGCACATTTTAATCTGCAAAACAATTAAAAGGTCTTCAAATCTTTGCCACAGCCTCATTTATGGGACTTCACAACACATTTGCGGATGTGACTGAACTAATGAAAGGAAGATAATATTAATTTTATTATATAACCATTGAGTAAGATTTTATCTCGTGTCTCACATGATCTTAAATATTTGTCTACATCATTGCAATAAATCATTAAAAGAATACAGTGATTGCTAAATATGAAGTGCTCAACATCATATCTTAAATTTACAGATTGATAAACATACATTTCATGGATTATATGTAGGCTACATTTATTCTTTTTAGCAGATCACTTTCATCCAAAAAAGACATTTGACTAAATATGACAAGCTTAGATAGATAGAATAAAAGCTTGTAGATAAAAACTATATTTTCAATTTTAAAAGCAAGACGAAAACAAAAGTGACCAACATGCAGATCAGTATTTTTTGCAGAGTTTTGCACAGACAGAGGATGAACTGACCGAATCCACCTTCACCGCACCGTTTGACTCAGTTCCTCGACCCCACCGACCCCTGCCAACTCATCCATCCATCCATCCCACCCAAATGTGTTTAACATTTCTTTTGATCAATAATCCATCTTCAGTATTCATATGTTCAAATGAGCCTTTTGACGTTTTACTCAGAAGGAAAAACCTAGGACTTTTTAACTTTAAGTCCAACTTTCCTCGCTCCATATTTGCTACATAGACTACATCTCCCACTTTGAAGGAATGATCCTTTGCTCTGTTTGTATTATGCAGAGTCTTTCATTTTCTCCGTATACATCTGATGATGTCTTTTGACTTCCTGTGATCTGTTAACAGGTCGAGGCTTGGTAACTTTGTTCGAGTGTCTCTAGAGGCCTATTTCTTGACACTAGTTGTGCTACAGGTGGTGTGTGTGTGTGTGTGTGATGATGATGAACAGAAGTGCATCAGTGTGGAAAGAGAATCTTATGCACAAACACATTAGTGCAGGTGCCTGTTCATGAGGGGATTTAGGCTACATTAAATCTACTTTAGGTTGACCTGTATGTGCCTGTGTTACACTCTCACTCATATTCAGAGTTCTGTATGCTTGAAATCTCCACACTGATTAAAGCGCTGCAGTGATGACGTATTTTTGTTGGCAAACACACCTGTAAGTTCACATCACCCGTGACAAAAACCCATAGAATATTTCTATTGTCCTTTATTAGAAGGGTAGGTGAATTGTTCCTGAAACTATTTTTTGAGCCAGTATCATACATACTATTATGCAATAATATTAAATGTTATGTTATTATTAACTATAAATTGAAATCACTTTTTTTACTGGAGTGAACATTTTCTGGGTTGGCTTGTTTTTAAAAGCCAGTAAATGATGAAAGAATTTTCATGTTTGCAGGAAAAATTCCTTTAATGCAGTGAAATTAGGCAATTAGTTTGGCAATAAACATTGAAGTAAACAGACAGAATACAATATCTTTAATTACAGAGATGACCAGAGATGACAAACACAACACCAGCGATTGTTTTTAAATTCGTTTAAAACATTTTGTTTCTTATTAGAAAAAGTATTGATTAATCTTGGAAAAAGTATCGATTCATTTATGGAAAAGTAACTATTCATTTATGGAAAAGTTTTGATTCAATTTGTGAAAAGTATCGATTCACTTTGGAAAAAGTAGCAATTCACGTTGGAAAAAGTATTGATTGATTTATGGAAAAGTATCGATTCATCTTGGAAAGGTATCGATTCATTTATGTAAAAGTTTTGATTCAATTTGGGAAAAGTATCAATTCATCTTGGGAAAAGTATCGATTGATTTATGGAAAAGTATCGATTCATCTTGCAAAATGTATCGATTAATTTATGGAAACGTTTCAATTCAATTTAGGAAAAATTATCGATTCATTTTGGGAAAAGTATCGATTCAATTTGTGTTAAGTACGATTCCTTTTGAAAAAAAAAAGTAGCGATTCATCTTTGAAAAAGTAGCGATTCATTATGGAAAAAGTATCGATTCATTTTGGGAAAAGTATCGGTTCACTTTGTAAAAAGTAGCAATTCACTTCGTAAAAAGTGTTGATTCACTTTGGAAAAAGTATAGACTCCTTTTGGAATTGGAAAAAGGGAATTGGAAAATTGGAAAAAGTATTGATTCACTTTAGAAAATGTATCGATTCAATTTGGGAAAAGCAGTGATTCACTTTGAAAAAAGTATTGATTCTTTTAGGAAAAAGTATCGATTCATCGTGGAAAAAGTATCGATTCACTTTGGAAAAAGTACCAGTTCATTTTGTGAAAAGTGACGATTCAATTTGGGAAAAGTAGCAATTCACTTTGGAAAAAGTATAGATTCTTTTTGTAAAAAGTAGCGATTTACTTTGGAAAAAAGTGGCGATTCGGGAAAAGTATCGATTCTTTTACGAAGTGTATTGATTCATCTTGGAAGAAGTATCTATTCACTTTGGGAAAAGTATCAATTCTTTTTGAAAAAAGTATCGATTATTCTTGGGAATAGCATTCATTTTAAGGAACAAATCGAATCTATCGAAAAACAACGATTCAAAAAAACTAAATCACACAAACACAAGTCAATAGTTTTTGGAGTTTTAATACATTCTCTGTTTATGTAAAAGAATAAGCACAACAATTATGAAACGAAATTACTATAAATCAGGTCGTAAACACAGAAGACGTTGATTGGTGTGTGTCGCCCAATATTCAGATTAATATTAATATTGATTTTTGGTCCTTCTAAATCTTGGATATTTATTTACATCAGTGCAATAAACCTTTAAAAACAATACAGTGATAAACATGCAATGCTCAACGTTGTATTTTATTCTATATAATAATTTCTATATAAGAAAATGTTTTTACTTTATTTCATTCCAATAAGCAATTGTCCAAAAGGAAACCAACTGCAACATACAGCTTCAAAACGAGCTAATAACAACAGAAATGGACGAAAACTATTTAGGGATAAATTTAACACATAAAACGACAATAGCAATAATGAGCAACAGTAAAATCAAGGCGCAAATCAGCACACACCGGCATTTCTTACTCAGACAGGATTCACTCTGCACTGGCCGAGGTGTGTATGGCTGAGGTGTGTGTGGCTGAGGTGTGTGTAGCTGAGGTGTGTATGGCTGAGGTGTTAGTGACACTCTTGCTGAGATAGAAGGAATATATCCGCTAGGCATGTCTATGGACACATCCTGAGAAGGATTGGGTTGATTTGTGCGGGCGGGTCCATTGAGGAATTCCTCTCGGCTCAAACCTTTAATGTCCTTCATGAGTTCAATACTAATACAATAAGTGTGATTCTGGTCAAAATTCACCAGATCTGAGTGCTGTGTCACATAAATGCTGTCAAATCGGTTCCACCTTAAGTTGAATGAAACAATGATGCGATCTTTGTTGCTGTTGTCTGAATATCCCGTGTAATACACAGTGACATATTCAGGCAGTGAGTCGGTGATGTGCAGATTGCCCACATCATAGTACGGGAGATTAGAGTAAGGAAGAAGATTCTCCCGGTTATAGAAGCGGTGGAAACCAAAAGCACCATTTTTAGGGTTGCAGAGTGCAACCATACGACTGTTGAAATCAATCTCAACACATTCATGTACAAACCACCACAGCAAGATCAGACCGTGTCTGGGAGGAGGCTGACCGAACTTGGACTCTTTCAGATCGGACAAATTATTCAGAGTCCTCATCGTGTTCCTGTAATCCTGCTGGATACAAAACAGCGCACTTGTAATGAAATAAATGTTATATAATATAATGTTTTTTTTTTAATAAAAACTATACAATTACAGGGATAACTGTAAAATGTAAAACCAAGAAGCAACAAAAATCAGACTGTAGGAAGGAGCTGTATGTAAGATTGTGGCCAAAACTGGTACTGCAATCACTTTCAAATTACTGTAGAGCGGTGTACCCCCTTCCCCCTGACTCGAGGTTGCCAGATAGGCTGTAGGCTCCAACATTTTTTTTATTCAACATAGCTGTGGTAACTAGAGCAGAGCTGGCAACCCGAATGCCGCAACACTACTGACTCCGTGACTGGTAGATCGGTGGAGGGTTGCGCGTTAGACCAAAACACAACATGACAAGATCAACGTCAGTTGAGGGCTGCGACTTCACTTTTTAAACGACTATAGAGGGCATGCGCGTGACGTCACCGTCGGCCTGCAGTTACTCACAGTGAGTACACGGCTGTATTCGTTTTCAGCGTGAATGAATGCCGCGAAAAACAAACACAACACATATAAAGTGGGAAAGAGCTTTGCGATTGACTGTATAACTATTTGACAAAAAAATCGGAGGTATATTTTTACAGACTCTTATAGAAAGAGGAGCAAATGGATCGCTGCAGTTCACAGAAACAGCTGGACTCCAGTCAGCGAAAGGTGGATTTGCAGTTATCATTTTGTGTCAATATGCTGAATTTAGCTGTAAAACCATACCCCTATGTTGTGTATTGTTATTAACAACTCATCAATTAAATGTGTATAATTGCATATTCTGCATTATTGGATGTTTTTTAATAAACGCTGACCAAAAAAAAAACTATAAAGTGTTAGGGCTGGACGATATGATGATATATATAGGCTATATATAACACTGATATAAGTGATTTAGCGTTCATATAAAGCGTTCACAGGCAATTTGCTTTATGTTTAGGTCTATATTGCTTTTATTTCCCCGGTGTCGAAATCAGGCAAACATAAACGTCAGGCATGTCAATATCCATGGATCACTGGATCTTTAGTAAGTTGTAAGGAACACTATATTGAGTCCAACATTTAGTTTAAATTGATAAAATGTTTGTTTTAGTCGCATTTTCACAGTTTCCCTTATTAAATCCAGTCACGCAGCAGATCTTTTGCCACTCAGTCAGGCTGAGGGGGGTTGTTTCGGCGGGAAAGTTCTGGCGGGAAAGTGATGTCAATGCATTCCCTCAAAATCCTGGCTGGACTACTGTTGTCAGTGATATAAGCATTTGAAATGAACATTATTTCTTAATGTCTAGTGACATATCAGAGCCATTTTATGATTATTTTAAATACATTTCTTACATACAGCTTCTTTAAATCAGTTAATTTCAGTCTGCAAAATTGGATCGTCTGTCATTGATAGGCTAATGTTCTGTTAATCCCCTCCTGTTGATCATTGATCATTTGTTAAATGTTCGGGGTAATGGTGTGGTGATTTCAGTTACCAATAAGAGTGTCTCTGTTTAACAAATTAGAATATTTTCAGCAGATTTTCCCTCAAAAGCAGCACATTGACCATGACCAGACAGCAGCCTCACACATATGTGGTTTATGGGGACTCTATATAAGCGTAAGTATCGCCTTACACTAACCCTAGCCATAACAGAAAGCTTTCTGACCACATTAAACCACATTACGTTGTAATACCTATGTCATAATACACATTTGTGTTCCTCATAAACCACATATGTCGGGTCAAGGGGAACTGGCTAAAACACTTTTGCAGACACTGATTACTTCTGAAGAACTGAGAAAAACTGATCCTCACCAATGATTGGAGTGAGACGAAGGGTTAATCTGTAGTGCACCGATCTACCATTTCTGTACAAGTAAACAGTAACACAATACACTGTATATAAAGTATTAAAAATGATACACCTTACCTTGTAGAGATACACCTTACTAGACCTTTAGCACTGACTCCCTCATTTATATGACATGACAACAGCGCATATATGCTGATGTCACTGAACTAGTAACATAGAAACAGGAAGTACTCTAGACTCTAGAGGTTGTGCATGTTTTCAACGATGAAAAGAAACTCACAATGCAGAAAGGATGCAGAGACACATTGGGGACTGTTCATGAGGGATTTACATTAAAGCTACGTTATTAAACTAATCTCTTGCTCATATTCAGATTTCATATTACAGCTTTGTCTGCTGTCTCCCTCGATCTGAAATATTTATCTACATCATTGTAATAAATCATTAAGAGAATCAAGTGATAAACATGCAACGCTCGACACCATGAGCAATTATATTTAATATCATAGGCTACATTATATTCATTTAGCATCCAAATAAACCATTAGTCCAAATGGAGACAACAGAGGTTCATAATTCAAAACAAAACTATGGCTGTGTTTAAAATCACCACCTCATGCACTATTCGCTGGATTACTGCACTAATATGTGGACTATGTTGAGTGTATTCGAATATTTGCGCTGCCGCTTTTGCAGTTTGTGCTGTTTAATTATGAATTGAAACTTAGCAAACTGGCATCTCCAGGAGAAGTATGAAAAGATTAGTCATGGAAACTAGCATGTATAAACCTTAATTAAACAATTTAGTAATCCATTAAGGAGCTGTTTACACTATGATATTACGCTGTAGCCACATTGGACCTGCAGTTTGGGAAATGGACGGATGATTCGGTTGCGGGCGCCGTTTGAAGAGTTGCCAAAAGCTCCATTTGCAGGATTGCATTTCTCCAATTGCATTTCAGAAAGCAATTATAATCTGAACACATTCATGAGCAAACCACTTCAGCAAGATCAGACCGTGTCTGGGAGGAACCTCGACCGAACCTCGACTATATTATTCAATATTTGGGATATTTTGATGAGGTTTTCAGCTCAGCTCATGACTAATATAGCCTTTTAAAATCTTAAAATCAGCACAATAAAAGTTTTTTGGGTGCTGGACTATGACCGAAACACATCTGTAGAAATTATTAAGAAAGAAAAAAAATATAAGAAATATAAGTAGAAAGGTCACTGCATCAGTACAAAGTCTGAATATTGTAGTGAGATGAACAGTTAATCTGAGGTAGAGTCATATTTTAAGTAAAAAGATGTGCTATTACAGCTTTGATTCTGATAATAATTTGTGTTCAAGTAAAAAAGGTCTCTCAATAGGGACTCTCACCGTGTCTCTGATAATTCTGCATTTGAAAAGGATTGTTGTATCCAGCCTCGCATGTTGCAGCTTCCACAGAGTCTAAAGATGCTATAGATGCTCCTGTTTTGTAACAGGAAAGTAATAATGATCAGATCATATGAGCGCATTAAATGAATCCACCCTGCCCTGCAGAAGTGACGGGAGCCCGTGTAATAATATCTTGCGAGGGTGGAGCAAAGATCTGCAAACAGAAACTGATGCTGCTCCATGCCAGATGTTTGCATGAGCAGAAGAACTGACAGGCTGATGTGAGTTAAAGGTGCTATGTAACTTTTCTTCTAAAATTAATGCTTTTTTATTGCCTGTGTGTGAAGGGGTTGTAATCACACATTACAATGATCCACTTGTCGGGTTTTACTATTACCTCTGAAGGCCAGTATTCCTATTTCTATGAAGTCTCCGGGTCGGATGTGACGTGCATGCGCGCTCCCGAGCCTCTCTCCTTTTTATGAACAGTCTATGCGACGGCAGTGCAGCGAACGACATGAGTCTGATAACACCGAAAAAAAGAACAAACTCAACATAAATATAAAAAACAAAACAAAAATGTATCTGCTGAAGCTCGTCAGGCCAAACGTGAATCGGATCGAAAACACGGATCAACGTCGGCAGAGCGTTTGAATGGTGGAGAGACCTCCGCTATTTTTATTGTGACAAATTACAAGTTTTCAAATATGCTGAAATAATGGTAAACTGTAATTAAATAGCAAGGAAAACTACAACATATGTTCCAAAAAAAGGTGCGTTAGGATGTAACTTTTATTTTATGTACTAGATCTACAGTCTAACGTCACTCCCACTACTATCAAATTGTTTATAAATATTCCCAGACACGTTCAGTACAGTAATGTTACTTCCTACGATCTTCGGCCGTGTGTCCACCAAAGCGTTTTTAGAGAGCTGAAAACGCCAGACGCTCTGCTGAAGACGCCGTGCTTTGGGCGCTTGAGAGCGTTTTGGCAGCACAGCGTTTTTTCCTTTGAGACGTTTCGTTGCTATGATACAGAATATCCGTTGCACAGTTTACTTGTAACTGATTTCGCAGATAATTTGTTATATACTAAAAAATTGTTTTTCATCCATTTTGTTTGGTTAGCTCTGCTGGTTGATGTCGTTGTACAGAAAGAATGTTGTGACAGTTGGTCAGTGTGGTATTAGTCCCGCCCCTCCTCTACTGTGATTGGACGGCTGGGTAAAAAGTGACAGTGATGAGCGCTGCGATTTACCCAAAGTTGAAAATTATTCAACTCCCGGCGACCAGTAAAAACGCTGGGTGCTCGGTGCTTCAGTAGTCAAAAAAAAAAAAAATGCTCAGTGCCTCGTTACGCTCATGGCGTTTAAAAAAACGCGGCGCTCCCATTGAAAACAATTGAAAACATACGCTAGGCGCGTGGAAAAACGCTTTTGTGGCCTTACTGTTACACTGAAATTGTTAAATTTAGTTCACTAATCATTTTCATTATCATATTATACAATCACCAATGTTGACATTGCTGATTGTGAAAGATACACGAATAGTTAGTGAAATGCCTTATGCTAGATACCACCACAAATATAGCGTTATCATGGTACGAGCATGGAGCATTAGTTCAGTCAAGCTGATAAAGGTAGCCTATTATCGTAACATTGCAGTGGGAGTTTACATGAGTTTCTAGCTTGTTGTGTGATGCTTTCTCCGGTGTGTTGAAAGTCTCAAAGTGGGCCGTGGCATGTATCATGGGTGCTCGCTCTTGTGTTCGAGTACGAGCGCTCTTGTAAAAATAAGTTAAGTGGAATAAGTTTGGTTTAATATTATTAGCATTTTAATTGTTGCTTCCCTTTTAATACTAAAATCATATTGTTTGTTTTTAAGAATGGAAATTCTGTTAACCAGCCCCAGTCTCCCCCACGTTCTCTGTCTGTTTTCAAGGTCATCTGATATATTACACAGCTGAGATGCATTTACAAAAACAAAACAAAACAAAAACATTCGATGTATAATTTTCCAAAGTCATTTTTATTTCAAACCAAGCCAGAGAAATCACATATTTAATCAAAACCAATTAAAGGAAATGGGAAAATATATCAAAATGTGTGTTAACAAGAGACATAACATGACAGACGAGAACTGAGTCTTTCTGAAACGATTCAACTGAACCAATTGCCTCCCAAAATGAATCTTCGAGCTCTCGAAACTCGGCACGACGGCGACATCTGCTGGTTTCAGTCATGTAAATACATTCCAATCAACTTTGATAAAGTTAGATGATAAAAATGACTCGAGCTTGTTTTACAATCACACGTTTAATCCATTTAATAATACCATCAGACACCACTAACATTTAAAAACAAAGAAGTCACGTGACTTGGGCGGGTACTTGATCCGGTTCACTAACTTGATTCACACACTTGAAAGGTTCATAACAAAGATTTCCCTCACATCATCACACCAATGAATATTTTATTCAGTTCAAGGTAAAATATTATAAAAATGTGTATAATAATCACGAATAAAATAAGAGTGGTTTAACGACTCTTTATAGCCTATTCAAAGAATGGTACACCACCAGGAGTCGTTTTCAGCTGGCGGGTTATGATGTCTCTGTGGTGTATGCCTAAATCCGCCCTGTACATCACGAGTGCTGGAGACCTGGGAGAGATACTGGTCTCGACTCTTGTTCCTGATGTTCAGGAGGAGGCCCTGACTCACACGGAAGGTTTTGCTGCTGTCGAATCGTTTCGGGTCGCTGTGTTCAGTCACATACACCCTGTTCAAGCTGCCATTGGCGTCCAGACGCACAATAACCCGGTCTTTGTTACTGTCAGGATTCTGCCTGTTATTTTTCCTGACGTAATCTGGGAGCTTGTCTGCTCCTGGACTATTCAGGTTGCCCACTTCATAGTATAGGAGGTTCTCAGTGGGCACAATGGGCACAATGGGATCCTCATCTTCATCAATTCTGTTGTGGTACTTGTGAAAACCAAAGTCTCCGTTCTTAGGCTTGAACCTCAGGACAATTTCACCAGAGTTATTAAAGCCTATGTAGTCACGAGCAAACCAGTACAACAGATTCAGGCCATGTCTCGGCAACGGCTGACCGAAGCCTGACTGTTTCAGCTGGGACAGTTCATTCAGTGTATCTTTCACCATGATGGAGGACTGTGTGAGAGAAAGAGCCAGGGATGAAATATACAAAGTATATATAGAAAAAGTCTGTTTTTAAAGGGATAGTTCACTCAAAAATGAAAATGTTGTCACCATTTAGGCTTCTCACGCTCTGATTGTTCCAAACCTGTATTAGTTTCTTGTTTGATGAAACCCATTGTATTTTTAACTTCTGGGTGAACTATCCCTTTAAAAAGTAGACTTGATATGTTTTCATCTTTTTAAATCCAGTTAAAATCTATTTATCTTTTTATTTTTCCCTTGAAATAGTAAAGTAAGGGATTACTCTTCATTTTTTCTATATTTAATTAGTTACTTCTGATGTAATTGCATTGAATACACTATAGACTAGAACAATTCTATATTTGATTCAACATCAAACACATATGTTATAACTTATGTTTTTAATGTAACTTTCTCCCTTTAAATACTTTGGTCAGTTCAGTAATAATGCATGCAATTTTACATTTTGTATTTCCAAGAAATAAGAGAGCAGTTTCATGTAATGTTCAACACTGAGGTTGATTTGGGATTTAGAAATTATTAAATTATGCAATACTTTTTACCAAGTAATCTAATAACACTACTACTGTAATTACGTTTTTTTAGAGTATAAAATATAAAAAGAAAAATATTCCATGTACTATCAATATGTAATACAATTAAGTGGGTTTTTTTTTACAATTCAATATAAATACAATTATATGCCTAACACACATATGAACTAATTTTTTAATATATATTTTAGTCTTTTATGAAAGGACGGTGAAAACATGTCAGCTACTGTACCGATCCCATGTTAACTAGCAGAAAATGTGAAAAGTCAATGTATAAAGGTTATTTTTCAGCAGTTGCTCTCAAAGTATCTTAAACCAAGTGGAAGAGAAGCACATGGGGTTTAATCATCATAAGCATTTAAAATCAGGACAACACAGATAACTGGACTTGTACCTTGTATGTGGTAAAGATGGATCCGCAGGTTTCTTGCAGTGATCCGCAGTTGAGTTCAGAGGAAGAGTCTGCAGTGCATTTTAAAAGGATTCCTTCAGGACACGCCCCCTTTGAAAAGTCCAGAGTTGGGAAATAGAAACTTAAGCTGTGTACTAGTTTTCAGATAATCGACCAATGGAAAGTATGCACTACAATACTTGTGGAATAATATTAGATATAATGTGACTTGACCCCATTGCATGTTTAACGTTTTTTTTTTTGTTTTTTTTTTTTATGTACATTTGCACTAATATAGACAATAAGAGTACTCTATTGTAAACATCTCGTGTCAGTATTACTATTAAAACTATTAAAACAAACAACAATTACTGTAATTAATGTAATTGTGTATGAAATTTAACATCTAGCCTACATTAAAAAATGGCTTAAAAATACTAATATAAAATATGTAAAACAAAACTGACAAAAACAATAAATTTACTCCTTTAATGAAAAAAAATGAATGCTATATGTATGTCTGCAGCTTTTTTTCTAAAAAATGATAAAAAAAAAGAAGTTAAAATCTAATTCAAAATATGTTAACAAACATTATAGTACCAACAATAACATGTTCGCATTGAGTCAGCAGTAATTATTAGGACCTACAACATTTACACAAAGAAATCAGTCAAATTGAACAGTGTAAATACATTTTACCATGACAGTGTTGGGCAAGTGTATTTTCCTAATTCACTGCTCTGATATGATTTATATGAACAGATTAAAAGTGTATTTACACTAATATGACTAGTTTGAGAGTAAAAAAACAAACAAGCAAACAAAAGAAAAAAAACACACAAGGCATTCAACCCGATCTCACGGGAATTCGTACGAATTTTACGAGGTGGCTAATTCGTAACAATTCATACGACCTCAGTCGTACAAATTAGTACGATTTTTGCTAAATCGTACATATTTTACGAATTGGCCAATTCGTATGAATTCGTACGAATGACCTACCCCTGACCCCGCCCCTAAACATAACCGTCACGTGGGTTTAGACAAATCGTATGAATTCGCACGAGTGAGGTCGTACGAATTAGTACGAATTAGCCACTTTTTAATCACTGGGTAGAGGCATTGAACACACTTTGACCAAAGACTTTTCCAAAGTGGCAATTAATATAAATTAAATTTATAGAGACAATGGGTGGAATTCAATTTGAATGTCTATGCAGTTTTCCATTGGTACGGTACGAATCCCTATATATAATTCACTAATTTATAGAATTATAATTCTTAGTGTACACATTTCTCAATACAAAACATAAACTAATGAATATCTATCCATATTTAACCATTATGAAGTACTATAGAAAAAACACAAAACAAAATTCCAGGCCTGCATATCTCATGAGAGCCAGCTTCAGCTGCATATCTTGAGGAGGAAAACATGTGTTTTTCTCTGAAAACGGGTGGCGCTCCTCCAGAGCAGAAGTCAGGAATGCGAAACTTACAGGCATTCTTGATCGGCAAGAATCTTATACAAAGGAAGCTTCACAATGACAGGCGCGACAGAATGTTGTGTGTTTGACAGCTTCCTTTTCAAACCAGCTTTCATTATTTATTATTTATCATCATCATAATCTGCACCATGACGACAGTCGAGAGCGATTCTGGGCCGTAATACACCGATCAGAGGCCAAGAGAGGGACAACACGGACAGGACAACGAAGAACCAAACCATCAGGAATGACAGTCAAAGAAAGAAAAAAAAATCAAATGACGACAGTTGTACAAATAAAAAGAGACTGCAAACAAAGAAAATAGAAACAAACTCGTATCGAAACTGTAGTTTTAACGGACGATGATGGGATAGATGTCCATATATATATAAAATTTCCATTAGTCTGGATCCATTCAAGGATAATGAGCGAACGAATTGTCATCCCAATTCCCATGTCAAAAAATAAAAAAACAACAGATAAAAAGTCAAACAAATTTTGTTGAACCCTCAAACTACATCAAAATTACCGTCATAATTATAAATCTAGCTGTCAGTCTCAGCATTAGAAGAATTATTCGTATGAATATTCATTATGTGTATATATACACACACACACAAATATCTGCAATGGTTTGTGTGCCAGTCGACACTCCTCGTGTCGTACAGATTCAGAAGAATCGCATTCATGATACTTGTATGATGTGTTTTTGGTGTTTGCAGTGACAGATCTTTCATATTTTATGCCAACTAGTTCTTTCAAATCCACGAACCGAGGCGAGCTCTTAAACTACGTCTCTCACACAAGCAAATGAGCACTACAGCGCTTCTCTAAACTCACTAATTCACTAATTCACACACACGAGCAAACAGGCCTCGTATGCCCGGGATGGTTAAGAAGGGTGACGTCCACAGCCTGAGGAAGACGTGCGGAGCGGGACAGGGGTGTTTTTCTAATGCTCCCCGTGACCACGAGGAATCCAGAGCGACACACAGTGGATGGTGTTGGGAGAGCGTTCCCGAACCGTTCGGGTGTCCCTTATTGTCCACTGAGTACAGCACGGCTGGCCAAACGTGTCTTGATGTACAATACGGAGAGAGAAGGGTATGGGGCAGCGGACTGTAATAACTATATTGCGCCGACATGTTTCTACAGGAGCCCTAAACGGACAAACTGCTCCACAGAGCGCGTTTCGTCACTGTTGTTCTTTGTGCAAAGAAGCTAGCTAAAGTCAGTGAATAAAACACTGACACAATGATGAACAAGTAACAATAATATTCACACTAACATATCGTTTTACTGAAAAATTAAGTAAGCTATTTTATTTTTTATTTATCTTTGTAAAGAAACCTCGTTGCTTAACTGGCTACTCTCTGCCGTCTCAGACAACATCTTTTCCTGTCAGCCATCGTATCTTTTGCAGTTTGCAAATCGCAACCTCACCACTAGATGCCGCTAAAAGTCACACACAGCACCTTTAAGCACAACTGTCAGGCATAATGTTTAAAAATGAGAAAAAGTGTTTAAAAGAAAAAGTTTAAAAGTGAGAAAAATAGGTTTGTGTGAGACAATAAAAGTGAATGGGGCAATTTTTATGGATTTTAAGGCAGAAAGGTAAAGCCTATACTTGTATACATTTTTTTACATCATGTGACTATATTTTAAAAGCATTTAATGTTTATGAATTTGCACCATCATTAGTGCTTCACTTTTTGTTTCAATAAAAGTAGGGACAAATGCTGTTGAATGAGCTCAACAGAGTTATTGTTTTAATTCACCTTTGGCTAAGGCTATATAGACATAGCCTACAGGTGAAACGCAAGAAACAACAAGGCATCCAAATAGAGGCAAAAGCATAACGTTACCGGTCACTGTCATGATTCTGCCTTAATGTCCTTGATTTTTCCCTAGTCGTGAGGCAGGATCAAAACAGAATCATGTTTTGTGTACCAGCGCATGGTCTGTTATTTGGGTCCGCCCCTTGTTACCCTCGTCTTGTCATTATTGTCTAGTCAGTTTCACCTGTCCTCGTCTTTAGTGTTCCCTTTATAATCCCCTTGTGTTTGCTGTCCTGTGTCGGTTCATTGTTTGACGCTGTGTGAGATATTGTGAGTATTTCCTGCGTGTTAAATGCGGCTACAATAAACGTTGTGTGATCGCATACTGTCTGCGGTTCATCCACCACCCACATGACAGTCACAGTCAAAAAATGAACCACCGCACTTCCTAATCGAGACGGAGGCTGGGACTAACAGTATCAGGGAGCAACACTGTTCATGCAAAGCTGGGTAGGTCTCTATTCACTTCTATAATCGTTATTACAAAGCAAACGGACTACACGTGTATAACGTTAGACATATACACTAGACCTCACCTGGGGGTTCTAAGCATGCGTCAAAACCGCCGCCATCTTGAAACGGGTCTTGTCATAGGAAGTAGCTAGGTAACGCTGCTATCTCTGCCTTTACTTCGAATTAATTGATGGTGGCGGACTTTTGTGCAGCGTATGAAGTTCACGGATGAAATCTGAACTAGGAAGAATGTTTAAAAAAAAAAAAATTCTTTCTGGAATCAATGATAAATACATGTCTGACCGTTGGAACGAACCAAAAAAACAAGAAAAATCGCATTCATGATGATTTATGGTGATTTTATTTGCGTTAGACCTATGTCTACTACATTGACGCTGATGCATTAAAGTGGAGGGCCTCCCCTGTTTCAAGATGGCGGCTCCATTGACGCATTCGTTCTAATGAACTGCCGTATCCAAGGTGAGGTCTAGTGTATATGTCTATGTGTATCAACAACCTGTATGAGAACCGAAATCATAACCTAAAACGGTCTAACTAGAACTTCAGAGTAAGGTTAGAAGCAAAAAATGTGCTTGTTGATGTTTGAGGGGTTTAGCTGACTGAGGACGTCCACACATTTTAATCCAAAGACGACACTTGTCAGGATTTGACTTCGGTTTTGGGAAGGGGAAAAAACGGACAACCCCCTCCAACCTCTCTGGGAAACGCGTATTCGTGTTACAAATGTCCGAGGCACAACGTTTAACCATATTTTGGATAAAACTACGACGGTAATAGCCGGCCGAGACCAAAAATATGAGACGCCTGTGTTGAAAGTCAATGGAGCGCTGTGGAAAAGTGTTGGACCTCTGTGGGAGCTCGTTCTTGGCTGTGCTGTGATTGGTCAATCTACATTATAGGGCGTGGCTTAGCTACATTTCTCATTCTTTATTTGTGCTGTTTAAGAGTAAATAGATCAAAACAATGAAATTGCATGGTACTTGCAAACTGGTCAACTTTTATTAAAATATAGCTTCATGTTCACAGGAATGTATTAAACATAAAATATATCGGTCTACTACTTAAACAATCAAAAGACATTAGACATTAGATACATATTTATGACCAGAAGATGGTGATATATTCAGTATCTGATCAACCCGATCACACTAAATGCGTCTCTATAGTGTGTTTATTGTGCAATTTATACACGCAAATGAGTTTTTCCGTGCATACGCATGGGTTGGTTAGTAGTGGCGTGGGGTGCGTGTGTATTATACGTTTGGGTAGAATTAGTGGTGCGGCGTGCGTGTGCATTACACACAAATGAACAACTGCGCATCACGTGCACGTAAAAACTAATTTTCGCGTATAAATTCCACAATGCGTGCTATAGAGACGCACTAACGTGTGAACAGGCTGATCTGATATGACACATTCATAATCAAGGTATATATATAGAGTCCCGCATTGTGATCTATCCAATGACAAAAAGTAAACCGAATAGTAAAATGTAAAAAGTAAACTGAAAATTAACCCCCGTGACATTTGTGGTAGGTGATGAACGTGGCTCCAGGCTTCACTTGGAGCTCAGCCAGTGTCTGCTGTGGCTCAACCGGTTTGCCATTGTAGACCAGATTCCCACAGCCTCTGAGGTCTGGTCTCAGCTTCTGGACCTTCTTCTGCAGTTTCCCGATGGTGTCCATGCTCCTCGCGGTCACGGGGACCTTCGACACCTTAGAGGCATCAAAGATATTCACCAAGAAGCGTTTAGGACCTGAAGAAAGCGGCTTTTGAGCCTGGAGAACGGTGTGGGTGGCCTTTCCAAGCGGCTCAGGAAGGGGATCGGCGTCTCCTTTCACACACTGCCTGAGTCCACACGCTTCCGGCTGAAAGAGGTTTGGAGCCTGAGAGAGAATCAGGAGATTCAGTGAATGCAGGTAATCTCATGACGATAAAACTAAATATTAAGGGAGAATTTTCATAAGAATTCATCCCTAAAATCTCAGGCTGTCAATCGCGATTAATCGCATCCAAAATAAAAGTTTGTGTTTACATATATATTAATATATGTGGGTGTACTGTGTATAGCCTAATTATTTTATCACATATACTGTATATAGATTTATATGTAATTTATATATGTAATATATAAAATACTTATATTTTTTTCTTAAATATTCATGCATGTGTGTGTATTTATATATTTACAAAATAATTATACACCGTGCATCCACACATATTATGTAAACACAAACTTTTATTTTGGATGCGATTAATCGTTTGACAGCCCTATCAAACTTTGGGTCAGTAATAATTTCTTTTATTTTTATTTTTATATAAATGAGTACTTCTATTCAACAAGTACACATTACATTGATCAAAAGTGACAGTAAATACACTCATAATGTTACAAATCACTTCTATTTCAAATAACTTTCTATTCATCAAAGAATCCTGAAAATGTACAAATATGTACAAATATGAAGCATCTCATCACTGATAATATTCAACACTGTATTATTTCTGAATAATATTCAGAAATGTTTCTTGATCAAATTATCATACTACTTTTATTTTTGATCAAATATTTCTAAGCAAACGACATTTAAAAGGTAGGTCTATTCATAATGTACATTAAAATGCAACTGTGTCTTTTCACAAATAACCAAAGTTATTTAAATATGATGTCTTATAAAGTTGGTAATCATGAGACCACAATGCATTATAAGGTATAATTAATTGATTAAAAAATACTTTATAATGCATTATATATAAAGGCTTTAAGTGAAGTGTTCTTTCATAAACATTTCCAAATTTTTGAACAATATATATATATATATATATATATATATATATAAATATAAATAATTACATCTTACATTTTATCTCAACAAAATGTATTTAAAATCATCTTACCAGTGCTGGGTGAATGACTGTAGTCATGTTGCCTTGAGTTGCTTCTATTGACAATGTAAGGATTACAAGGGATACATGAATGTTATATAGTCGAGACTCGAGAGAGAGAGAGAGCGAGAGAAAGAGAAAGAGAGAGAGAGAGAGAGAGAGAGATAGAGATAGATAGAGAGAGAGAGAGTGTGGAATTTACCTATCTTCCCTGTTGTGTGCCAAACACCAAGTGTAATTCTCACCAACACCCAGGTTTACGGGAAATCCGGCCATGCATTTGTTCACAAAATCCAGACATGGGACAATGTAGAAAATGGGAATCACATGATTTATATTTCCTGTTCAAAAGAAATTGATTCCCATTTTTGTTTTACATACTGTATTGTGTTACAGTATATCTGGCGATAGCTCTGTGATTGAGATCTACATTACAGCTGATTCATGAGTTTCAGTTTCACTGTTGTGAATAACAACCCATGATCTATGAAGACGGTCTCTTGTTGATCATTGAGTATTAATGTTGAGTCTGTATATCTGTAATTGCATGTTATTTATGGACATGATATGATACTACTATTGTACAAGCAGACTTTAGAAAATGGTGATTTGCTATTTGCACAGCTCTTTGTGTAGCCTTCATGTTTTATGTACTTTTGTCTTTTAAAGGGATAGTTCACTTTGAAATTAATTTGATATATTTTAGCTTACCTCAAGGGCATCCAAGATGTACAGTGGTGTGAATAAGCTTTGGCCCCCATGCTAAAGTTGCCTAAAAAGAGGAATAAAAAATCATCTTTTGGATATTGATCTTAATGCATTAATTAGAAAGGCTCCTTGGCCTTTGGAATTAAAATATCCCCACATCATCACACACCATTCTTGGCATGGGGTACTTTCCATGAGATCATCTTTCAATGCAAATCAAACCAGCTATTAGGCTAGCTGAAGTAAAACCATGCCAATCTCTAGGCGTGGTGAATGGTGTGTGATGATGTGGGGATATTTTAATTCCAAAGGCCAAGGGAACTTTATCAGGATAAATATTATCCTGGATCCATGAAATAACTGGCTTTTAAAAATAAAAATCTGCCTGACTCTATGGGAATTTAACATAGGGGTGTCCTGACTTATGCACCCTGTATTTTAAGGAAAAACATTTATTTATTTATGATGCATTATTCATTCACAATGAAAATTTGTGTCCTTAAAGGTTGGAGTTTTCCTCATTTTTCTAATTAAGGCATTAAGATCAATATCCAAAAGATGATTTTTTTATTCCTCTTTTTAGGCAACTTTAGCATGGGGGCCAAAACTTATTCACACCACTGTAGATGTCTTTGTTTCCACAGTATTTTCAATTTAGGTAAAACCGTTCTTGTCTGTCAGTCATATAATGGAGGTCTATGGTCACCACCTCAAAGAGCATGCACAGAGAAGTCCAAATTAAACATGATTTAATGACTCGTAAATGTAAATACACATTGATGGCCTAGTGTACTTACATTTACGAGTCATTAAATCATGTTTAATTTGGACTTCTCTGTGCATGCTCTTTGAGGTGGTGACCATAGACCTCCATTATATGACTGACCGACACGAACGGTTTGACCTAAAAATATCAAAATTGAAAATACTGTGGAAACAAAGACACCTACATCTTGGATGCCCTTGAGGTAAGATAAAACATATCAAAAATTAATTTCAAAGTGAACTATCCCTTTAACTGTTTTAACCATGTGCCTCTGCTCTGTCTTGTTGCAATCTTTTTATATCCAAAACTAATTTCTCCTTGGGGAGACAAATAAAGAGACCTTGACTGTTTTTCTTTATTCGTTACTCTCAGAATGCGACAAATCTTCCATCTTTTAGGATAAGAATCATGTAAATGTCCCGCAACCCTACATAGAGCCAGCGGTTTGTAAAATGGATGGATGGACATTTACAGTATATGTGCCAAGAATTACTGTTTAATAACTGCACCATTAATAAACTCATAAAACTATACATACTGGCACCAAAACAGAGAAATAGGATTTCATCGGTCAAATGTTCTCGCTTCCATTGAAGCTCATAATAAAATAGTTAATACAATTTGTGGTCCAAAGACTTTTTTTTATTAAAATAGAAGAATCAGATTTACATATAGAACAGTGCAAATCACAATTACAGATCAAAAAAAAAATTTTTTTTTATTATGAAGTTTGTCTTCCTTTAACGAACTGAATAAAGAATTTTCTCATACATGTTAGAAACATGAGTTTGCACATGAAAAATGTCTATATTTAACAAAATATAAGATGTAAGATAAAATAATAAAGAACATAGATCGAATTATCTTTTCTACGAGCTCTGTGTTTTCCCCCCAGTGAACTGAAAGTGAAACCGTTTTGCTGAAAACACCTTCAAAAAACTAAACACAAAAGCAAACGACCAAACAAAATGCATCTTTGGACCTTAAATGATTTTTATAGTAAAATATGGAGGAACAGAAGAAAGAAAAAAAAGTCACAGTATCTTTATTTGTCTCCCCAAGTAGTTTTGGATATAAACAGATTACAACAAGACAGGGCAGAGCTACAGGGGTTAAAACAGTTAAAAGACCAAAGTATAAAACATTAAGGCTACATAAAGAGCAAATCGACATTTTATCAAATCTGCTTGTGCAAAAGTAGTATCACATCATGTCTCTACATAACATTCAATCACATGCAGCTCGAATAATGCATTCAATTCAACTTTTTTGCGCTTTTATGTTTGCCGTCAGCACTCAGGGCTCGATTAAACAGAATCAAGTAATTTCAAACCTTAAATCTTGATTTATGACACACATCAGCTAACAGGAATCAAATATTTGACACAGAAAGCACAGAAAGAAAAGTGGTGTTCACATCATCTTTAACCCCCGTGACACTTCTGGAAGGTGATGAACGTGGCCCCAGGCTTCACTTGGAGCTCAGACAGCGTCTGCTGAGGCTCAACCGGTTTCCCATTGTAGACCAAATTCAGGTTTTCTCCCAAGTCCGGATTCTGCTTGCGGAGCTTCTGCTGCAGTTTCCCGATGGTGTCGGAGCTCTTCATCCGCACCGTAATCTTGCCTCCATTAAAGCCATTCAAGAAATTCACACGAAAGGCCATGGACTGTGTTGAATATGGCTCTTGAACCTGGAGAACGGTGTGTGTGGCCTTTACACACGGCTCATGGTAGGGAACAGGAACCGTGTCTTTGGGATCTCCTTTCACACACTGCAAGGGTCTACATCCAGCACGCTGAAGCTCATGATACTGAGTCTGAAAGAGAGAAGAGACGTTCATGAGTGGGACTGGACAAAAGAGAGAAAGTTAACAATACTATTCAAACATCAGCATATCATGTTAAATGGTTGTGTTTTAAAACGTATAAAAATAATCTTACCAATATTGCATGAATGTTTGTCCCCATGGTTCCTGTAGTGTTTCTTTGTAGATGTTTTTGAAAAAACTCTTCTTAGTTTTGGTTGTGCTCTCTGTGCTGCAAGAGCATTACTTATAGGCAGCCTAAACTCCACCCGTTCAGTCGTTTCAAGGAAATGATCACGTACTCAAAATAAAAAAGTACCTATCTCACCAAGTAAAAAACACCGAGATACCGAAAGCGCAAGCATCTCGGCTTGCCATAAACAATATCGAACCATATAAGTGGAAAGTCCCATGTTTTTTTCAAGCCAAGTTTGAAAACGAAACCATGTCTACCCTACTATAAAACAATTGAAAGAAGAATTTAACATTGCATGCCAGGAAGATATTTATTAGGATTTCTTAATAAAACCACAATGGGAAACTGGCGTCCATGAAATCAACATTTATTTGCATTCTTGAAGTTGCTGTACAAATATTACATCAGACCCAGAGATTTGAAGCAGATCCACAACTCAAACCTCTCAGTGATTTTCTGAAGATACAAAATTATTTCATTTCCATAGTTAAAAAAAAAATTCTATCGAGGTCCGCATGCCAGTTCATCCGAGATGGCTGATGGTTTTCCCCTTTCCCTTCTTGACATTAGGTGGTGTTTTCTGCAGCATTGACAGCGTGTCTCTTTTCTCGACCTTCCTCAGCTGCTTCTTCTTCATTCTCTTGATCTTTGCTGTATTCTTAATCTGAAAGGGGCAAGGCAGTAATGAGTTAAACAAGACGACAAACTGTGAGAAACATGAATTCTGGTGCAAAATGCCCATTCTGTATTTACCACTTGCACAATCTCCGCTTTTCTCTCGTTCTCTGCTCGTCTTTTTAGATGTTCTGCTCTCCTCCTCTTCTTGTCCTGCAGGAGAAAAAGAAAATGAATACAGGACTTACAACCGATGTTTACTATGATATTTCGGGGTTTAACTTGAAAACTTCATGACGTTTTTTCACAGGTCACAAAATGTCACCGTGTTTCTCGGCAAACAATGTAATAATCAACAACGGCTGTGTTAAATTGATCAAAAGTGACAGTAAAGACATTAATAATGTTAAGGATTTTAATTCTAATTTCAAATAAATGCTGTTCTTCTTTTGAACTTTCTATTCATCAAAGAATCCCGAAAAAAAAAAAGTATTGGTTTCCACAAAAAAGTTTAAATCATTATAAAGACGTTATTATTTTGTGTGAATTCTGTGATCTCAAGGTTGTGGAAGATGAATTTCACTTTGTTTTTTATTGCCCTTTATACTATGATTTAAGGAACTCTCTTTTTGAATTAGTTCAGTTAAAAAAATCCTGATATATTTTGGAAATATGAAGGGGAGATTCTGTGCTGGCTGTTTGATAATCATGTTTTTGCTTTGGCAAAATTTATAGAAAAAGCTTGCTGTTTACGGCAAAGTATTCTGTATCCCGTATGATATCCCGTATGTCATCTCTATTTGTATGTATACTTATTTTTGTGGTTTAGTTATACTATGTTGGAGATTCTGTCTTATTTCACGTGGCTATTTGTGTGATATTTGTGAAGCTGTTATGTCTAATAAGCCCATGAGGGCTGGGCACCATAAAAGGTGTTTGACACTTAAATAAACAACTCAAACAAAAAAAAACAAAAAATTATTATTAAGAAATTAGAGCCCGACCGATAAAGGATTTTGAAGTCCGATACCGAATCAAATATTTATTGGTTTTAAAATCCGATATTCCGATATATCGGCCGATATGTTTTCTTAATTATTATTTCAGAAACGCGCAACAAATTGTAAAACATACATTTTCAATATAACAGGCCAAGGAGAGATGATCCGTCTCATTGCTATAACTATTACGTGCTATTAAAGAAATACTTCAGTCATATTGTCAAAAGTTAAAAGGACTACACTGTAACAACAATGTAACTATTACTAGCTAATTCTGCTTCATTCTCTGCTTATTTAACAGCAGCAATACTGGACATGATAGTCACAAATTTTGTTAAAATATTCATTATCAAAATATGATGCAAAATATTCATTTATCGGCCATAATAACTGCCGATACCGATAATTTGGAAATTTTAGCCGATATATCGGTCTGGCTCTATAAGAAATCTTTCTTGAGCAGCAAATCAGCATATTAGAATGATTTCTAAAGGATCATGTGACAAGACTGGAGTAAATTGTAAGGATATTTCACAATATTACCGTTTTTACTGTATTTGATCAAATAAAAGCGGTCTAAAATGCATACCATTTTTTAGTAAAACGTGGCGTACAGAAAACTAAACACCTGTTTTGGAACGAACGCAAGCTCTTTGAACCGTCCTTTACTATTTGTATACTATTTCTAGAGTTTCACAAAGATTGCTGTAATTATCTGGCTCTGCAGCACTGATTTTATTTTAATCTTGGCTGCATAGAAATGATCGACTGCTGGATTTTGACCTGTGTATGTCAGATTTACAGTAGGTTTAAAGAGCACCTATCATGGATTTTTGAAAATGACTGTTCATGTAGTGTGGAGTATAGCTCTAAGGGAATGAAAACATCCTGCAATGATCTGAAAGTGCACCGTCTATAAAGTTATTTATACTACAAAACAGCATAGAAAAGTGTGCAAATTGGGACGCACTTCAATACTTGGTTTCAAAACCAAACAATGACAACATTCAATTCATCCATAATGAGACAGAAGCACAGTTTTGGTGCAGAAACTCACCTCTTTTTCTCTGGCCTGCTCATCCTTCAGCTGCTGGTGGTACTGCTTCACCTGCTGCTTCTCTCTCTTGGCCTCCATCTTCTTTTCCCATGAAGTACGCAAAGGTTTGTCTCTCAACAGAGCAGAGAACCTACAAAACAAAGTCAGCAGGTCTGAGCAGAAGAAACAAATGCACACGCAAACAAACAAGTACATTAAGGAAATGTTTATGTACCAAACAGTTATTTAACAGAGATGCAAGTATATCAATGCACATATAGATACAAATACTCATGACATCAGACCATATATCTGATTAGATTAATATAGTCAGTGATGCACCTTTGCTTCTTTCGGTCTTTCCATACTCTTCCAGACTTGGGTTTCCCAAGAGGCACAGGCTTACTTTTCTTCTCACTGGATTCAGAGTGAGTCCTTTTTTTGGCCCCTTTCTTGGGGTCTGTTGGACCAGTGGACACTGTCTCTGTGTTATTTACCACGTTTTCCTTCTCGCTGGTCTGATCTACCGTGTCCGGAACTGACTCTTGACTGACATCTACTGATGATGATGATGACGCAGTAACAACTGGACACACTGTGACTGAGCTGCACTGGTCGCTTTTAGTATCTGCTGTAACGTTACATTCATCGGGAGGCGATTCCTGTCGAGAATCGATGCTTTCTGCCGGATCTTCTTGGACAACCGACTTTCTCGTCCGGCGAACGGGAGTTTTGGCCGCGGGCGTCCGGAGTCTGCGACCACTCCGTGTGCGACTCACAACGGGAGAATCCGCGTCGTTATCGGGACCTTCAGCCATCATAACATCACCTCCACCGTCTACTTCCATGTTTATAGACCCTGATATAATTAGCGTTGTGTCGATTGATAAAATATAAAGCTATTTAAACTGTAATAGAAAACACACATATGAAACACACGTGTATTCCTCCTGTACTCTCTGAGAAACGGAGAAGAGGAGTGTATCATTTGGAAGTAATCAATAGTGCTCCCTAGTGGTTGGGAGGGCAACTATGTGAAGTCTGAGTCATTTATGCAAGTCGGTTCTCGAACCTGTTCAAAGATCCGATTCATTGATTCTTTTGCGTCATTAATTGCAGCCCTGCAAAACGTTACAGTAAAGATGTTGAACGGCAAATTCTTTATTCATAAAAAGTCGATGTCTAATTCTCCTTATTTTACAAGGTTTTCTGTAACGGAATTGCTCTTTTAATGAAGTCTAAGGGAGAACTGAGAAAAATGTAAACGGTGCGTGTCTTTAGCTTCTGACTTTGGTGCTAATGTTATTTTGGTGCTAATGTTTGTTTCAAGTTCTATAATTGAAACAAAAAAACAGTAAGATGTTTTTTCGGGTACAGTTTTCGGTTAATAATGTATATTTTATATTTTCTAATGCCTCCAGTCTATGTCATAATATTAAAATAAATTTGTTATGGCTAGAATTTTACATTTTTATTTTAATCTACTGGAATACTTACTATTAATAAAAAGTAGCTACGGACGTTAATGCTAATAATGTTTTAAATATTGAATTAAAATGTCGGCCGTGTCTGAAAGAGACTCGAGAAATGAGTAGTTGACTCGAGAACTTTACTGATTCAGGGGCCGTTTACGCAACACCGAAAATAGAACAATTTTTTTTTCGATTTGGCGGTCCGTTTATACACAACAAGGGTTTTGGGGGCCTGAAAATGCAATCTTTTGTTTTCAAAGGGTACAACTAAATACAGAAACGTTTTGAGCCCTGTTCGTAATCGTTTTAACGATTGAGGTCGATTTGTGAACGAATCTTTCAGACCTGCTCTTTGAACCGGTTCAACTAGTTCATTAAAAAGATCCAAATCCAGACAACGATTCATTCACGAGTCGGTTCATCGCTGGTAGCAACCGAAATAAATGGTACTTGACTTCCGCACCGCTGTTTGCTGAATCAAAACAACATGACTGCGGGTGTCGGACTGATGTTGGTTCTGCTCCTGATCCTACCATCGGTCACGGCAAGTATTAACTTTGCCCGTGTGTTTAAAAAGTATAAAACCAAACGTAAAGCTTGTTTTACTAGTGTGCTGATGTTCTCTCAATAACTTTAAATGGTGACTTGCACATGCAGTACTATATCATCTAAGAAAGGTGTTATACTTTCTACTGTTTGCTATTCTGACACTGTTGATTGAAGAATATTTCTGCTGTGAGATATTTGGTCGCATTTTTGGTCTGATGTTATGATAATGAACATACGAACACCTGACAAGTGCGTCCAGACTGTCATGACTCGTAAGTCTTGTGACTTGTCATGTGAGGAGTCATCAAACATCAATCCCTAATACTGTTATTTAAAGAGATAGCTCACAAAGATCACAATTCTGTCCTCATTTACTCACCCTCATTCCATATTAATCTTAAAATGTTGAAGGATGTTTAAATAACTGCTCTTTTTCATACTATGAATGTAAATGGAAACTGAGGCTGTTGTGCTCAAAAATGACAAAAAAAAAAAAAACAAGTCTTGTCATTATGTTGACATTTCTGAGGTCAATAATAATTGGCCACAAGATACATATGAACCATCCTAGACGTCAAAACTGGCATGGCTTCTTTGAGACCACGTTTTTGTCAATTGGGACTCAAATGGCCCCATTCAATTTCATTTGGGGAAACGATTCAGACAAGGATATAGTGCAAATTGTGTTCCATGGAAGTAGGAAAACCAGTTTAAAACTGTTTTGATCATGAGACTGAGTACATTATAAAATTACACAGGTCTCTGGAATACTGTACTTGATTCAGATTGGTCAATTGTGGTATCCTGTGGTCAAGGATTATTCCTTAGTTATTCCTGTAATTTTTAGTCGGATGAACTATTCCTTTAACTCATGAAAAATGATTTTCTTGTTTTAAAGCGCTTTGTATCTTCTTCCTTTCTGTAGTATGCTTCAACATCCAGTTTCTCCGTGGATTACCGCCAAAACTGCTTCCTTAAAGATGGAGAGCCATTTCGCTACATCTCGGGCAGCATCCACTACAGCAGGATTCCCAGAGTCTACTGGAAGGACCGGCTACTCAAGATGTACATGGCTGGTTTGAACGCCATCCAGACGTAAGACGAACTGACAATGATTATGTATTATTAGTAGTTACAATGTTTTGCAAGGAAAACCTGGAAATATTGTGATTTCCAAACCTGAAAAAAGTCTGGAAATGATAAAAATTCCCATTTTTACTCTTCACCTTAATAAAAATCATGGAAAATTCAATAGTGAATACTGAGCTATAAAATGTTATCATTGAGAAATTGCTCATCACAAGTACAATATTTATGAAATGATTTTAATTATGTACTAATCAATGGAATTTCTTTGCCCTTTTGTTTTCTAACTTTGACTTCCACTCATTCCAGCTCAGATTTCCTTAAAGGGATACCATTTTTTTGTATTAAAATATGTTATTCCCTTAACTAAGAATAGTTGATACACATTAGTGGGTGCACTAAAGCCTAGTTCACTCTATGTGATTTTAAGCCCGATTTTCAAATCGTTGAGCTGGCCGGCAGGTCAGGGTGTTATCGCGGGGGAATAGCGGGCGATGAACGCTTGCCAATCTGTTAGTATGAAAGAGCCAACAACGCATCAAAGACGCTCGCAGACGCGTCGCCGAGCCCAGAAAAATATCTAGCATGCTAGATATCCAGAGCTGTCGCGCGACTCAACCTCAGTGATGTCATGAGCTCCAGCCAATCAGAGCAAGGCATGGGTTAAGGTCACCGGGTAAATCTTATTTTTTCTTTTTTTGCATTTTTTCTCAGTTTGCAGCACTAGTTTCTGTCTGACGTCTATATTCGCGTGTTGTGTTCTTCGTCTTCTTCGCTTGGTATTGGCGCACGTGTTGTTTCGCGTCATCTCCGGTTCATTTTATCGCGTGACAAAATGTGGTTTGTAGACAAGATAGAATCGTTGGGTGACAGAGTAGTCAACTCGTGTAGTGCGTTACTTCCTGTTGCGGATCAATCACGTTTTGTGGTGTGGTGTGAGCAGCCCAACAACTTGAACACTCCTGATTTCACAGAGACCAATCCCAAGCAATTGCTGTAGTATAAGAAAAGCGCAACGTTTTATTTTGCGCCACCATTCTTGGTCGAGTTACACTACTCGAGTAACTGAATTTAAATAGGGAAAACGTGGAGATGTTTGGTCGCTTCTCTGCCAGGCCCATATTGAATGAACTGGGCTAGTTAAGTGCTATCAAAGTGTCTCACGCGCCAGAGCGATTAAGAGGTGTGTATCAACTCCTCTTAGGGAATAACATACACTCTTCTATATAGAACCTTAAAAGGTTCTATCAGCGCTACGTATTTGGAACTCCAAAATGGTTCTATATAGAACCATTTTTTTGGTAAAAGGTTCTATAGACTCTTAAAAACAGGGTTCCTCTGGGTTCTATATAGAACCCTGGGGTTCCATACTTGGCCAATAGACCCTTTTACCAAAAAAATGCGTCTATATAGAACCCTTTTGGAGTTCTATATATGAAGCGGGGGATGGAACCATTTCTGGTTCTAAATAGAACCATTTCTTCTAAGAGTGTAGTTTAATATGAAAAACCGGTGGAGTATCCCTTTAATGGCCGAATTCGTCCACAGGTATGTGCCATGGAACTTCCACGAGCCGGTGCCGGGTCAGTACGACTTCAGCGGAGACAGGGATCTCGAGCACTTCCTGCAGCTGTGCCAAGACATCGGCCTGCTGGTCGTCATGAGGCCAGGCCCCTACATCTGTGCAGAGTGGGATATGGTGAGGAAAGACCTGTTTATACGAGTTTTAAACGTTTTGAGCTTGTCCGCTTTCCGACACTTCCAGAGGTAGTTGAAAGCACATCAGACCGGACTGCTTTCGTAGTGTAGATGCTCATGTGGTCGAACAGCCACAAAAGACTGTCTTTTTCCGTCTACTGATCTAATGCGTAAACATTATTGGGAGTGCATTAGCTTGGGAAGATGAAAAACTTCCCAAGCTCAGTGTTCTCACACACACACACACACACACAGTTCCACGTGATCTTACGGCTGTCAGAGCAGAAATGAAAGCTGATGCTCCGGTCGCGTTCATATGTAAATTGCTCAAGCTTATTTTGTCCATTAGTTCGAAAGATCTGAAAAAACACGTACATTTACCCGCCCATAGACCTTCCACTCGGAGAAACCAGGACAGAAATGGTTGAAAATGGACAAAAGAGACTTGTGACCCGATCGACCAGAATGCACCGTGCAGAATGCATCTAAAACTAGGGTCCGGGGGGCACAAGAGAGAGCTAGGTGGTCTGTGGAAAAACAATGTAAAAATTAAATAATTAATTAATGCATATGATTTAAAATAAATGTAAATTGATTTAAATAATACATAAAAGTAAACAAAAAATACACCTATTATTACAGTACTATAGTGAAAAGTTTTTGTAACTTAACAGAAACAAAATATTTTCTAAATAATATTTTATACCAGTTTATGACATACATTTTCGGATCGGGGTCTCTCGCATGAGGATGGCTTTTATGCTGGTTCATGGTATCAAAATCAATTTTTGGGCAGGGACACATGACATGTCCTATAAAGTCAATAATTCCGATTTAAAAATAGTCAATAATAGTTAAGTTAATAATACATTTTACATTTACAATACAGTTAATAATACATTTTTAACTTTTTCTGACCTCGGATGGTTACATTTTTCTTGTTTTAGGGGGGTTTGCCTGCCTGGCTGTTGAAAAAGAAAGACATTGTGCTGCGATCATCTGATCCAGGTAATAATAGTTATTGATTAACCTTATTGATTAACCTTAGATGCTGTTTAATCAGTGAAATGTAGATCTTGTAAGTTCAAGTGGTGTTTTTATATTGCTCTAGATTACCTTACAGCAGTGGATAAGTGGATGGGGAAGTTGTTGCCCGTCATTAAACGTTACCTGTACCAGAATGGCGGACCCATCATTA